TTTTGGAACTGCAGGTCAGGAGATTTCCCGTTCTTTGAGCTTTTGGGAAGCTAGTGGGCCACATCAAAGTGGTTGGGAATCCGGAATCAGAAAATACATATTCCTCCGGTGGAGTTGTGTACACATAGTGATGGGGCGTGTCACAACGGCAAGGTGAGAAATTATAGCATCTCTATGATGCAGGTCGTGGGTTCAGCACGCCTGCGTCAAAAGCCCATTCCCTCTCACCGCTTCTTTCTGCTTTTCTTTGTGTTGGACAACGCGGTTAACCGAAAGGCTCATTTCGAGGAACCACCCAATGGTCACCAAAATGTGTGCAATACCCTTCCTCAATGATTTGTGCTTGGATATGCCCCAACCCGCGGCATCAACAGAGATGAAGGGTCCACTGAGCCACTACGCTTCACTACCCACGTCAGAAGTTTCGCAGGTATGTTCGATCACAAGGACTGGCACATCAGACACTGAGCTTGGAGTCAGCATTTGATGCAGGCTGGTAGAGAACAACCTAGACCCAGGGACACATATGGAATCTAATCCATTGTTTTCAATGTTCTCCTATCTTAGTCAGTCATAGTCATGTCACATCTTATAGATGAAACACCAAGGTGTAGTGTGAGCCCATTTCCCCTTTTCTGTCGGAGTATTTCATCCTGTCTTATTTATCTAATTACATGTGGTTTTTAGTCATCCTGATCTTGCCTATCTTATTTATGGATCTATTTCATGTTCAGCACATGTATGTATATATGGTCGTGCAACATATACACTGTTTATCTTATACCTTATCTATCTTATCGTTTTATCTATCGTATCTACCGTATCTATCGTATCTATCTATATTTGCTGACTAATTTGCTCCCAAATACATGCGTTAAGTCATTATATATATATATATTATATATATATACATTATTATTACATTACATCACAGTACATCACATTGCATCACATCACATGATAATTACATGTGTACTTATATTTATATTACTGTATTTTAGTTTTAAGTTCACAGTAGCATGTGCATTACCTTGCATCTCTTCACATTACATTACATGGCATGGCACGAACCGACATGACTGACATGGCAAGACATGCATTGTGTTTCAATATGTAAATACACACATATATATATATACACACGTTAATTTCTCATCTATGATGCAGAATCAATTATGCATATATAGCTTTTGAAACCAATATATATATACAGAGAGAGAGAGAGGGAGAGAGAACTTGTGGATATACGTATGTGAGCTTGTAACCAGGTGTCAACCCAGCGGTATATAGGTATATAGATTGAGAGTCAATCTACTGACTTTTTACTCTTTGATTTTGCCCTTTCATTCAACCACCAAAAAATAATAAAGCCTACTATATAAAACATGATAAAACCCTGATCCTTTGAAGACGGGTTAATTCCAACAGAAATTACATATAGCTTAATTCCAAAAGAGACACCCAATCAACCCATCATTTGGGGGTTGCTGAGGACCATGGCCATGAATGAACTCTTGGCAGCAGCAACTTGGCGGCGAGATCTGCACAGATTCGCCAGGTTCGTTGCAGCTTCCGCTTCGTCTCAGGTAGTAGAAGCTGGATGGCCGCACACATCTGTGGTAAGCATGAAGGATGCCGAAGAGGATTGAACCTGACCGGTCAGCATAGTCGATCATTGAAGAAGGTAATGTGCCATGTCGCAGCTACATCCGCCATTTACCCTGATTAACTGATGAGTTTCTAAAGCCAAATCATGCTCTGCAGGATTTGTGTACCTATTTCATGGCAGGTGCACCTTCACGAATCTAGTCACATTTACATGCATCATGCATCTTAGATTCTTACTGGCGGTTTCGATATTTCTTGATTTGAACCATATTTGGGATGATGATACCTGTAGGGGTTGAAACCACCAGCCAGCTTGGATACCACCCTAGATATGCTGCTAAAGTTGGGTGACTAACCACTGGGGCTCTCCAGGAACTGCGTCATGGCGGATTGTGGAGCTACTTCCCATGGATCTGGCTATCGGAGAAGAAACGCTTGAAAAGCAACTGGTGGCTATTTTCAGCCTGTGGCTGGTGATTTTCTTTTGGTGCTTCTGAGAGTTGTGTTGTTTTTCCTAAAGGGGTCAGTTCATCTTAACTGTCCTAACCCCATCCCTATCGTTCAATGAGTTGAAGCCAACGGCCATTATTCTCAGGAACTGCAAGTCATGGTAGTGAAGATGCTGTAGAGCCGTAGAGCCGTAGATATAGAAGTTCCTGTTTTGAATTGTGCTCAGGGGGTCCTAGTGGGGATGACAGGAAATGGGAATGAAGTAGGACAATTTTAAGAATTGTGCGCAGTTGGCTCAGTTGGCTCCTTTGGATTGGTTGGCAATTCATGTTGAAT